CCATTCTTCGAGTTTTGGACCAGAGGAAGAAATACTGGCTTTTTAACTGAGCAATGTAAATATTATTGGCATTTGAATTCCTACATCTCATGTAACTTTCTTGTAGAAAGATAAATGGGGTGGCTTCATTGAAAAAAATTAGAAATGAATCCTCACATCAGATTTTCAACAGTTTGTGAGCATCCGGTGCAAGTTCTTTTATATCCACAGACACTTAAAAAAGGAGATGTAATAGTCATTCATATTCATATTTGGCTAACCGGCACCCAAGCCTTGTGAAAACCAAAATGCAAGACTCCACTCCTCACTCCCCAGCACCACCCAACCGGAGTTTCCACTTAGATTTTGTCCTGGGTTTGGCGAGGCATGAAAACACAGTATCTGTGCCTGTGCGTCAAGCAAAGCCGGTCTGCACTTCCTCTGCCAGGCAGGGCCATTCTTGACCTTCATCATTGTCATTCGACTCAAAGAACGCTCTTTGTACAGAAGCTCTTTGTACACTGGGGTTTGTGATCCGCCACCTGGGGGCATATTTCCGCAGGCCCTTCACCCAAGGAGATTTGACTGTCAGTGCAACAGAACGCACTATCGAAATCTCAACTACCTCAACAGTGACCGCCAGGCAGTCAAAAGGCATCACCAGCAGTTCAGTGTGGTGCAGACTTGAGGCCGGCTCACAGGTGATTCATGACACTCATCAGGGTTTCTCTGTGTGCCCCCGGCTTCCACTTTCAGCGGCGTCTGCCCCTCGGTCCGGCAGGACCTCTTCTGTCAGAACCTCAGTGCCCTGTCCCTCGCCCCTAATTCAAACAACACTCCTGAAAAGTAGGATTTAGTATATCTTTCACGTCCTGTACATTGACAAACTAAGTCTTAGGGAAATGAAGTCTTCACTGCATGTCATCAAGTTGGAAAGTGGGAGAATTGGAACTATATTCCACATCCCTGTGACTAGCTAGATTTTGAATGGTGCACAAAGGTTAATGTCATGGTTTTGGATGTGCATATTTTTTGTAGATAAGGCTCCAACCAAATTCCAGAATCAAAAATATAAGCTATTCCTATAACTCCAAATGCCAGGATTACAGGGTGATATTTCGGCATCAGTGGTTGTTGTCAAGCCTCCCCGAGATGGGTCTACCCAGTCTACTGACAAGACCAGCTCTCGAAGTGCACACCAGTGCACACAAGCACAGCTGACCGTCCACCAGCCAAAGCCCACCTGACTGAACCGTTAAGAATCTAAAAAGGTGTCAGCAAGGAGAGAGGCTAAAGGAACTTTCAAAAAGAGCTCATTGGGTGATGCCTTTTCATGGAGAAGAATGTTTCCTATTGTAAGATTACACAGCCAATGGGTGGCCTGGAGGGAAGACTTGCTGCCTTGGACACTTGTTGGAATTGAGCCAAAGTGTCTGAACACAAAGGGAAAAACAATGGAGTGTGGATGATGTCACAGAGCATCCTGAGGAAATCAGCAAGGATAAAGCTTCCTACTGTTTGGATCCAAAGTACACACTTATTTTGGCATTAATTCCTTCTGCAGCCAGAAACCTGACTCTTATGGAGGATTAGTCTTAATCATCAGGGCTCAGTGCTGGAGAGAAGGGCGGGGTGTGTGTGTGTGTAATCTGGTGGCTGATATGGGAGTTAGAGAACCAGCATCCCCCCCTCTCCTCCACACATGTGGGAGGTTGTTTAGGAAATCACTGCAACTAGGCAAAGGCCATTTTTACTGAGGGGGACAAAAAATTGGCTTGCTCTCCTCAAGGACACTGGCCAACTGTGATCAGAAATCTACCTTCTCATACAATAGTAATGGTGGTGCTGGTCCCTCCTCTGGCTGGGGCGAGACTGCCCAGTGTGGTTCCAAGAGGGCTGGCCAGTTCTTAGACACAGCGAAGGACCTGGCCTGGAGCATGCTTTTCCTGTACAGAGGCTTACCTCCTCTGTCTGGCCTGTGTATCTAAGGAGGCAATATTCTCCTGCCTTCATCATCTCAGGGCCAGGTCCCAAGCAACTAGGGAGCTTGAAGCCTGCCAAAGTTATTCACACTAGCCAATTACAAACTACAGGCCCTGCCCTGTCTTCCCTTTTCTGAGGAAACCCTGACAGAGGCCGTGACTTAGACCTTCCCCTCCTCACTCCTGCCACCTGCCTCCTGGCCACCCCAGTGTCTTCCCATGTGGTCTCCTGTCTCGAAGGCCTGTGAGTATAATAAACTTTGTTTTTTCCTTAGCCTTGACGCCATCTCCACTCATGGCCACACCTGACTGACTCTCTCATGAAAAAATACAAAACAACTAAGGTTGGGATGGAGAAAAACCCCACATTTCCCTCTTCATTTAAAAGAAACTGCACATGGGTAAAAACGGTATTATCCTGAGAGTCTAGAATATGCTTAAGTGGTAACACTGCAGATGGAGGGCAGCTGGCATTGTGACTGTTTCAACCTCCGGAGACGAGATCAGTGCTGAGGCTGGTCTAGTGGCTGGTTGCAGAGCACACCACTTGGAGCTTTTCATTCTGTCACCTGTAGACCTGGGGGCCTGAGACAGTCACCCCAATGGCCTAGAGCACTGATCTGGCAAGAAGATAGTAATGCCTTTCTAAGTATCAAATCTGATATTTGTGGCTTAACAGGCAATATACTGGCCAGAGTCCTAAGGTCCAAGACCAAGAACTTAGGATGGACCTGGAATGGGGCATCTGCTGTGTGTGGAGGCAGGTGCAGGTATGACTGTGGAGGGCAGAAGTTCAGTTAAGCTATCGGAGGACAGTGTAGGAGGAAAGGGTGATAGGGCTTTACTTAATCAGCTTACCAGGCACTGAGTTTGAGGCCATGGAACAGGAAGGAAGGGAAATGCAGAGCTGGGAGCTTGACAGAGGGGAGAGCAGGCTGCATGTGGCTATTCAGGCAGGCATACATTCTGTACCACAGACATGTGACCAAAATTGTCGGGCCCTGGGTGTGGGCTCCAGACTGAGAGAGAATAAGGGCCAGGTGTGATCTCAGTAGAATTAAGTGTCACTCACTTGACATGCATGAATATGTTTAATTTTACCCCAAATCCTGAGACCTGGGTATTAATATCATCCCCATGTTAAGGAGGAAGAACTGGAGCTTCACTAGCTTGGTAGATTCATCCAGGGTTACACAAGTAGTGAAAGTTAGGGGGAAAGGGTGACAAGAGACTCATCTCATGGTTTGAAGTCTTGATGAGAAGAGCTATTGCAACCAAAACCACGGCAAGGTGGGTTTTGCAAACTGATCTCAGGAAAAAGAGGAAACCCAGTCACTAGGACTGGGGCACAAGTTTGGAGAAGAACTAACCAAGAAAGATGCTGGCTGAGCCCCTGAGATGCTTCAGAGCCACCTGGGTGCTCTATGCATTGACCCATCTCAAAACCGGGAGCAGAGGGACCCGCATGTGGGGTCGAACGCCCTTAGCTCCACTGATGGGAGAAATCCACAGCAGGGAAGGAAACTGAGGCAATTCATTCCACTAAAAACTGAGCAGTATCAGGCCCAGAAGACCAGCAAAGATGAGCTGGGAGGATGAGAGGAGCAGCAAGTGAGCTTAAAAGTATAACTGTCCCAGACAGCCAAGGCAAAGGTTCCACAAAAGCAGTTTTTCATCCACATGATTTCAAGGACAAGTAGTGAAAGTTTGTTTCATTGTGCATATTTCATATCTAAAATAAAACGTTCAATTCTGGATGACCTGCTTCTTAAGAGAAGTCACTATAATGGTGGAGTGGAGCTGAAGACAGCCTAGGGAAAAGAACTGAAGGAGAAAATATTAAAGACAATATACACCTATGCATTTGAAACAACATAGCTTCTTGAGCAGCGGCTATATTTCTGGCGCCGTGATCTGGACGTGCCGAGTGACGTAAGACATGACGCCGCTCCAGGTCGATCACCACTCTCAACTGTATCTTCATGCAGTTGAGAAAGGGGTCCAGCTGTGTGAGCACAGAGGGTGCAACCAGGAAATGTGGATGGGATTTATGGAGAGGGAGATTTATTTAATAAAAAGGTACCATTGATGAAGGGACATACACAGAAAATAAAATTCATTGTGCTCTAAAATTGTGCAAGATATGCAGATCATTTCTTTTTATATCAATGTTCTAACAGCCGTGATGTTTTGGTGGTAAGTCATGGGCACTGCCCCGTCCTTTCACTTTCACAGTTATAACATAGGTACACTCAGCACAGAAAGCCGGGGCCTGTAAATGATGGTCTTTTGATTCTGCCTCTGAGTCACTGTCCTCAGGCTGAGGAATCTTCATTTTGTCATCTTTGTGGTTTGGGGCTGCACTCCAACTCAGAGACCTTAGAGGGGTTGATTTAACATCTGTATCCAGAAGAATGATTTTATTGTTAGTATCTCTAACGATCTAGTGAAAATTGGGACTCTTTACTCAGAATTTGGATGGTCAAGTTGAAGAATACAGGGAAGAATTTCCTGAGTAGTTAGGTGGCTGACCTAGGTACCTCTGAAGGTCTCCTTTCCCAAGAAGATATAAAGGTTTAGGTTATGTTATTTTTCATTAACAGTAAATAGCATTAACCCCAATCTTCTGAGATGAAGAGTGGTGAAAGAATATCCAAGAGGAGTAAAAATAACCGGTGCCAGAAAGACCTCATCTTCTCATCAAAATAAAAACACTTGAGTTTTTTCCTATTTTTAAAAAATATGAGGCATATTGTCATGCCAACAGAAAGATCACACTGACCCATGTTTTTGTATGATCTGTGCCTTTGTTCTATTTTAGCTCATCTGTTTTCATTTTAACTTTGTACCTCTGTATACGTCCGAAACTTAAAAAAAAACAAAACACATACACACAAAACCTCCTCACACTGAATCATGGACTTTCTTGGTGAAAAATTAGGGAAATCCCAGAACAGTGGCTGACAGGGAAGTTTTCAAGGTCAGGGAGAGGGTTCTAGATCAGGGGAGCCTTGATTCCCACTGTGAGTTTGGACATACCAGCTCTTGAAGGTGAACCAAATTTAGGTTTCGATGACCTGGGTCCCAGGAGGGTCTCTTCAGGTTCTTATCACAACCAGTCACTGCAGAGGTAATATATATGTAATACAAATGAAATAAGCATTTACTTTTATCACTTAGATCTGATTTGCGTAGTCAGACTGATTTCCATTTGAATCTCATCCCTACCACTTAATGTGAACTCAGACCATTTATTTTACGTCTTGGATCCCCATCCCTTTGAAAAGGGTAATGATGAGAATTGACTCAAGTGACCCCGTATAATAAATAGCAGGTGCCTTGTGAATGTCAGTGGTTTTCACGGGAAGCTTATCACTTGGACAAAACAGCAGCTTTGCCTTAGCTGATTTGAAACAACCACAATGCCGATGACAGAGGCAGATGTTTTGATTTGAAAAGATCATGATGTGAAATGACTGATTCGTCTGTATTAAACTATGTATACAGAAAAGAATGTCCCTGGCCCTAACCCTCTTCTGGAACCTCATTACCCCTCAGGTCAGCCCATCCCAACATAGCTCCCCTGACCCCGGTGGCATGGCTGGCCTGCAGAGACTGGGCTCCTCAGAGGGGCGAGGCCAGGGATGGAATGCAAAAGGCTGAACACCACTGGTCCCCAGAACCACATCAGAAGCAGGTCAGGGCTAGTATGCCTTGTCAGAACTACCTTTGATATTGTAACAGTATCCTACCTTCCTCATTACAAAATTGCAATTGCTTGGTGTTTTTGCAAACCAGAGAACAGGAGGTATGTTTCTTGGAGTTGAGTCATTTGAGATAGTATTCCCAGCTTAGCTATTAACCCATACCCCTGTCTACAGCAGAGTTTCCCTTCTCTCTGAAACAGAGCTAATTATTACTGTTTCCACTTAGTTAGTTCTTTCTATGCTGCAGGTACCCTATCAAATGAGACTTAATAATACCTAAGAGGCAGAGATTACTAGAGGCTTCTGAAAAGGAGGCAGAGAGAAGTTAAGGAACTTGGGAAGGCCACGCTGCCAACAAGGAGCCAGTCTGGGCTCTACAGGGTTACAGGCTTCCAGACCCTCTGGAAATATGGCCCCTTAACTCCTTATGAATTCTCAGAATTATTTCAGGCTTCATAAGAAAGTAAAAGAAGGGGATTACTTTTATTTAAAAAAAAAGCTTAGAGAGTTTTATAAATAAAACATAGTTACGGCTAAACCCATGGCCAAGCACCCACACAGTCCTGGAACTTCCGAGTAGACAGGCTGCACTATTTCAGCCTCCGCTCCTTCCACTAGTGACACAGGGACCTGAAGGCCTGGCAAATAACTGGGTGTTATTTGCTCCATAGCAACTGTCCTGAGTGCAAATCGAAGGGCAACAGCGAGGAGAAGGAAAACATTAGACATGAGAAAACCCAGTGCTTTTGTGCCTAATCAGACCTCAGCGCTTGAGGAGCTCACTATATATTGAAGTCACCTTTCAGCAGGTTTTTTTTTTCTTCTAATGAGTCATTACACTATTTCTGTCTGTATTTTTAGTTGTATAGATGCAATTAATTATAAACTAATGACAGCATATTTTATTACACAGTTTCAAATTCTTAATGCCACTTCGTTGTCCCTTCGGAACAGTGGAAGAGTGACAAAGACATAAAAAGAGCCGGTTTTACGAATGATTGTTTCCACAGGAAATTAAAGACTCATCCTTTTCCACATTGCCCCGCGTCAGTAAGTCGTGTTCGGCGGGCTAATGCATCATGCTCTTCATCTCCTTCTCCCTGAACACTACTTCCCTTGACTGATCTATAAATGGCACGCACATTCTTAATCTGTTTGGTTCAGCACTCCCCAGAGATCATATGAGAGCAAGACAGACTATTCCCAGCACAGATGATGGAGCGATAAAGCATGCCTACTGAGCCAAAGGAAGCATCAGGCAGGTGCCTACTCGCAGGCGTTCTACAAAAGAGAATGAGTGTGAGAGAGCAGGTGAGCAATTGGCTCCAGCTTGAATCACTTTGTAACCCACTAAACGGTCTTACCTTAGTAACAGATAATGAAGTTCAGGTCCAAACCCCGTATCCTTTTCATCTTGTAAGAACACTGCAGCTAGACACCTCAGGGGTCTTTGCTCTCTGCTCCTTCGAGCTCTCTCTCAGGCTGCCAGCACCTACCGCCATGGAGATGAGAAAGCCCACAGGAGAATCTCAGTCTTCTTTGCCTTTCCGGACACATTCACACACACAAAGGCCACTGAGTTCTCAGCTTCTCTCTGGTGAATCAACACTTTCTTTAACCGGTTCCCATGCCTACACGTAGTAGACAGTATTGCCAGTGGTGGCTTACAGAAAGCAAGACTCAAGGAGAAACAGCCTTCCCCCTGCCCATCTACATCTCTTTCAATCGAACCCTTGTGAGCTTATTCAATAACAAGGATGTCCCCAAACCCCAAAGTGGCCCCTGAACTTATTTCTGTCCGGGAAACCTGGACTTTCTCTTAGGAGTACCTCTCGGACTTGTACAACTTCTTCCGAGTGTCTTTCTTAAATGTAGGTGCTCTATTGTTGTCGTTATAAAGATTTTTCTGTGTCAACACACACCCAGACTATGTAACCCTACACCTATGGCAAATGGCTTCTTGCCCAACGTCACTCCACTTGGGTTCCGAGGAGGGGCGTCCTCCTAGAAGACCAGGGACAACCTCGGCAGTGGTTTCAAGTAAAGGGTTTAGATGTTTTTCTGAGAAGTTGGTTTTGTTTTATGGCTTGTTCGTTTGCCTCTTCTAAGTTTGGGATAAGGGAGGGGTTAAGCTTCTTACTCAATATCCATTTTTCACCCAGAAGGAAGTTTTATGATTTGGGTGAAGTTGTCATGGAAATGTGGACATTTATAAGAAACTGAGTGAACACTGGAGTCATTTACTGAGACGACAGAACTGGGAGAGAAGGAAGTTTGAAGATGGGTCTCCATAGCTGAGGTCTGGTTGTGGTAACTGGATATGCACTCTGACAGCCAAATATAAAAGTGTCAGGTAGATCATCCAGTATTTTGGAGTTGAAAGGAGAGATGCAGAATGGAGGTGCAAGACGGGGAGTCATCAGCACACATGGCAATTGAAACTATGAACAGGGATGGGACCTCACAGAGTGAAAATAGGAGGGAGGTTCCAATGTCCAAGCTCTGGGGCAGCCCATCTGAGGCTGGGAGGATGAAAGGATCCACCAAATAGAATTGCTTGAAATTGAAGGAAAACCATGATGTGCGGTGTGAAGTGAGGAAAGTGTGACAAGAAAAAGGAACTGATCGTCTGTCAGAGATGAACGATAGGTCAAGATGAGGACTGAGACCTGACCATTGGATGCGGTAATGTGATGTCACTGGTGACTGTAATGAAAGATGTCCCAGTAGAGTTAGGAAGGCAAATGCCTGATTGGACCGGAACAAGGGGGAACAGGGTGAGTGGAATTGAACACCATGTGCATCTCATTTGTCAGGAGTTCTGCTGACAAATGGAGTAGAAAAACACAATGATAGATGGGAAGGAATATTGGGGTCAAGCAGGTATTTTTTTCATGAAGAGAGCTTTTTATTTTGTATTGTTTTAGTGTGAGATGTTACAATGCATCAGCTAAGATGTTACTACATTATTAATTTTTTAATTAAGTAAATGTCCCTCAATTACTCTTGTGTGTCATCTCTACTAAAAAGTAAGCATTTTTGGTGAGCTTGAGGAAGGTGTCCTATTTGATCTCGTGTTTTCACTACAGAATCCACATGATAAACAAACTGATTGAGTAAAGTAATTTTAAACAGAGAAAAACAGTACTGTATGCTGTACAATACAGATACTAGCTGTTGGATGGAACTGTTTATTGTAACCAGATTTTTCCATACCCAAGGAAGGATTTTAAGTTGTTTCACACGGCCTCAGCCACTGCTGACACCATGCCTCCAGAGAGACCTGAACCGGCTTCACAGGCCCCACTTCTGCAGGCCAGTGGGCTTCCTATCATTCTGACTGCCTGAAGAACCATCCAGGATGATTCCAAGGAAAGAACCTGTACAGAGACCTCCCAGAATGTGGAGGAAGTGACTGAAGTCCTCACTACCAAACAAGGTGCTCTTTTTCCACTATTTATAAAACTCTCTCCCATTACTTGTGATTCTAAAGTTATTTGAAACTCACTGACTTATTTTCTTCTCTTTGGCCAAACTGTGCTACAGTGGAATAGATTACCCTACTAGATTTCAAAATCTAGAATCAGTAGTAAGTTGGTTAGCACGTACTTCCTCTCAAATTATTTAATTTTAAAATTGAACAGTGAGGATTAATAAGACTGTCTATTTAGATCTTTTGTTTTTCTTCTTCTGAATTTGAATAAATTGATTTTCTGGCTGGTTGTACAGACTCCCAAACACTCACATTACCAAGCAACGATCCTGTAGGAAGTGCCAAAAGGTCTGATTCGGGCAGTGTCAGGGGAGGGTTCCATGAAAAATGTGAATCCTCAGGAGAACTGTGATATGACAAGAACTCATTGCCTGGGGCTCTCAACAATATCCCTTCCAGTGAGCCCTCAGTCTCTGCTTCAGCATTTTCACTGACAAGGATCTCACTGACCCCGCCCCCTGCCATGTACTCTGTTCCTATTTGAGGATGACTCAGTTCTACCATGGAGGAAGTCCTGCCTTAAACTCAGATAAAAATATGTCTCCCTGTAGCATTCACAAGACTTTCCTGTCCTCATGCTGTCCCTCTGCAAAACGTGTCTGCTACTATTAAACAGCCAGTTCTTCAGACAAAAAAAAAGTTAAGAATCTTATGGTTGCTTCTTACTTCCTAACTTACCTCCTAAGTCTTTACTTCTTCCAGTGAAAAACTTATGAAGCATCCTACTAATCCTGGTATGCATACCGATTATTTAATTTGTCACTTTTGAGAGTGGAGAAGATATGAGCAAATGCTAAAATGGTGAGTTATTAAGGCAACAGGAGTCAACCAGGGCTGCTGGGACATTTGGTCAACTGAATTTATAAGCAGTGATGTGCTGGAAAATTTTAACAGTGGGCTCTCTGAGGGGAAAAAAGGACTGATGGTAGAGTTTGTGAATTTCTGTGGTGCAAATACTCCACACATGAACAATTTCGAGTTACTGGCGTGACGTCTCAGAACGTGGGGCTGGTAAGAGGTGTGCACAGTTGGCCCATGGGAGCTGATGTGAGTCTGCTCAGCATGGCCCTGTGTGATGAGCCCTGGTTTAGGATTCGCTCAGTGTCCTGGTTGTTCTCCTGTGTGTGCCTTGTTTTTATGTGAAGCTCACAGTCTAAATTCCACTTAAAATGCCACTTCAAAGGCCTAATTCCATCAAAATTCAACTTTAAAGCATCTATGAATGGGGGTGGCATGTAGAGAGAAATCCTCTTGTTTCTAATGTTTGGATCAGGAAAAAAATTAGTCTTTAGTTGAAATGTTAAGGTATATTCTCACCAAATTATATATACCACTATGCCTTATTAAAGTTGTCATTTGTTTAATGGAATGGAAAAGAAACAGGTTTAAAATTGATGGCTTGTTAAGAAGGATTCTGGGAAAAATGATTTAGACTTTTAAATGTTCCCACATAATTTAGTAAGCACTTAATTCCTTATCAGATATTAAGAAAACTGTAAATGTTCAACTTAAAGCTCTACTAATGAATAAACTTGTTTTCACATTTAGCCTTTTTCACTCTTGGATAGGTTCCTACCCTCTTAGAAACCATGTATGTGTTTGTTTTTGGTCTTCAGTGAATCCATTCTGCAGTAGTTACTCATGAGTCACATTTCCATAAAGGTGTAATTTATAACTTTATTCTATTCATACTGGATGCAACTGGTTCGGACAAACCGTGTTGGCCCTGAATTGGAGTTAGCAAAAGTGTGAGAGATAGGAGTTGGCAGCATCTGGTAAATCAGGTTAAAGAATACTGATTGCTCTAAGGGGGGATTAAAGGGCTTCCACCAAGGGAGTCTGATTAGCATTTAAAAGAATGCATTCTGGCAATGGTGGTGAGAATGGATTGGCCAGACTGCGGATGGGGGTGCAGTAAAAGAGATGTTGCATAATTTAGGGGACTAAAGCATAGGAAAGAGACTCAAGAGATATCTGGAAGTCTGAATCCACTATCATCAGAAAGGGAGGGGGAAAAGAAGGAGGGATGAAGAACCGTCCAGGATGATTCCAAGGAAAGAATCTGTACAGCTGCGATCAGGTCTACAGGTTGGGTGGCAAGAAGTGGTGGTTTTATTTCCCTGTTAAATAAAGGGATGGAGAGCAGAAGAGACAGGAACAGCGACTTCAAGGGAATGGAAAACATTAGAAATAGTCACTGTCGGGAAGTTGCAGAATATGTTATTGAGGCTGCATTCAAGGCCTATTCTTAGTAACATTTCTCAAGCATCTAATTGAATAGTGTCTCTGGAAAAGCATTCCAGGTGCTCCCGATAGGTCTTCCCACTTCCCTCTAATGACCTGTTCCTCCCATTTCTAATGAAACCCACCAAACAAAACAAATACCTTTTGATTGAAGAATTTTAACAAGATAACTTGTTCCGTTCTCGGTTTCCAGATTGACCACTAAATGGCTTTTACTGAAAAGAACAGTGAAATTCCCACAAAATATTTGTTTGGAAAACATTCGCTAGAGACATCCCCTCCTTCCAAACGCATCCCTGACATCAGGGAGGAGACGAAGCTCATAGGCAGTGCCATCAACGCTGCCCTGGGGTGGAACTCCAAAATTTAGTCAAGGAACGAACCCCAGTGAGGTCATGTCTCGTTTGGGATTAAATAGCTAACTCTGATTCTGTGATCATATTAAGAAAAATGCACATAAAAGCTCAGGAATTTGTCTTTTGTTTGATTCAGAAATTAAACTTACACACGTCCTGTCTGCAAAACGAGAATCTCACCATGTCAGATGCAAAGGAGAATTGGGGACATGTTACCTTCTTCAGCAGGCTGGGTCATGGATGTTACAGCACTTCTGCAGGTATGTATTTATAAACGCAGATTTGTCTGTACTCTAAGAAGTAAAGTTAATGTCTACAAACCTTAATCAAGTTACCAGGTGTGAACTGCTCAGCCAGTAGAAGCCACTGAGGTCACTACTCATTCCTACTTGCCTGACACCAGATCATCCCGGTTCTGCGAGGCTTGGTCTTCAGTACAGCAGGTGTCCAGCACATGAATTATGAAGACAGTTGCCTTCATTCTCCATATGATGTAATGCACATATTATCTTAGAGCAGAGCTTATCTGATAGCTCAATCTGCAAACTAGCAAGTCACCTGCAACTTCTAAATCTTGGCTCCAAATGTTCTGTGTTGTCATGTCAGATATAAAGATTGTTCACTTAGAAATAGGAGCATCTGTTTTGTTGTAATAACTATAGTTATTATTTATTGAATACATATTATATATTAGGACTTTGGTAACTGTTTTACAGAAATTACCTGTTTTAAATATTAAGCAACCTATAAGATACGAACTAATGTTACTAGCAATTTCTAAATAAGACTTAAATATGCTGATAGACTCTCCAAATCTTCTTATGAATAAAAGTTACCATCAGGATTAGAAATAACACCTCCTAATATGAAAGAGCACACATTTCTCAGTTAATAAAGGCAAAAATAGACCTTCATAAAGAAATAGAACCCATTTGAGCTCATCACAGATGAATACCTTGTTATGCCCAAGCAGCTCCACAAAGGAAACCACTCTCCAAACCACACTGCACAGTAGACTCACCAGCAGTGAGACCTTGGCTGTGATGACTTGGAAAGAGAACTGAATGATACAAATGCCAAATTATCACAGATTTAGCAAAGGGATGTTGACCCAAATTTGAACCAGTTCTAACCATGTTTCTGGCTTTCAAAATGATAGGCACTACTATCCAGTGGCCCTAAATGATTTCTAAACTTTGGCAGGTTCATCTTGCCACTTAAAGATTTCTATATAGAAATTATAGTGAACATTGTAGAAATAAACAAAGACCACCCAAACTAGAACAGAGGTGGACATCCTTCAGAGTTTGCTACATCAAAGGAGCCAGCTATCATCACTTGTCACTTGTGTTTAGCAGCAACTCAGAGGGAGGCAGTGAGGGAGAAGGTTCCCAGTGAGAAAGGAGGGTATCAAGTCTGCCCTCCTCAGTGGCTGCTGTCATGAGAAGCTGGACTCAGGTTAACTAGAAGCAGGCATCCTATGTAAGTGCCGTGCAGAAGCATATTTTTGCTTTCTGTCATTGGTTCTAAGTTAGAAACAGGGGCAAAAATTTGGAGAGCTGGAAGTGAATGACCAAGCCTTGGCCATTTTGGGCCCTTGTGGCGAATGTTTTGGTTTGTCTTCTGAGAAATTTGCTATAGAGGTTGTGGGTCAGAGTTGTTTTGTTATATATGGTCTTGGCCATTTTTTGTTTGTACGTTCAGCCTTTCAACATAAACAACACAATACAGTGGTAAACAAAATGTGGGACAGCAACCTTACATGAATATAATTCTTGAACCTATAGCCTCCACACCAATACTAATAAATTGAGTTATTCATGAATAAAGCCCCAAATAAATTATTCAGAGTTTTCTGTAATATGAGCAAAAAATAAATTTAATCATTCTTTGTTTTAGGGCAGCTTAGTTTTCTTAGAAACCTAATTATCTATGAGCCAATATATTAATGCTGGATTGATAAAACTGTAATTAAGTCTTTCTCATCTTAATGAAAATTATAGTAGGTAATTCTCAACGATAATGGTTTTCCTGGGGAGAAATTGCATAGCCTTCCAGTAGAGGGTCTTGAGAACAACAGTTCCTACCATCTCTCAGGACTGGTAAACGCAGCACGTTGGATGCATCGTGTTCTTGGAAACATGGCATTTTGCCCACTTTGCACTTACTGTCAAGTGTGACTCTATGTTCACAGTCCAAATTATTTCAAACCTAGGGGTGATAGTGCATAATACATTTTGTCTTGGTCAAATCTACTAATTCAAATCTGTCTCAGTCACCAAAAGTGAGGTAAATGTATTTTACCATTCCCCCCACCTTTTCTGCTGGCTATATTTCTCTGGCTTATTACCTCCTTGGCTAATAAAGCACCGTGGATGGATGTGGTAATTTCAATATTTTGTCAGCCTGTCCTTTCTATCTAGATGGTGCCTGTGTATCACTAATTGTTAGCAGCTCAAGTTCTTTTAGCTTCTGTAGCTTTCTCAAATTCGCAAAGGCAACACCCACTAATCAACAGTCATTTCACCACTGAGATGTTTTTGTCCACAGATAGATTCATTTGATATTCCCACCTTTCCACCCTCCTTGCATACATTGCTATAGCTGCCATGAAAATAAGGACCAAAAGACAGTGTTGGCCAAAATGATTGACTCAGTTCTTCCAGGCAGACACTCCTTGAAGGTAACTATTATTTTCGCTTTGATTTTTTCCTAAGCCTTAAGTAAATGCAAATGTTACTATTGTTATTTCTCTTTAGGCTAGGAAGTCTGGAAAATATAGTAGAAGCTTCAGAACACATGGTTGTCTGGGGCACAAGAAAAGTTATGGAAGAAAATCTGAGTCATGAGCTCTTGCGTCAACACCCACATCTTTATTGTCTCCGTGTTTATAGGATAACCATTTCTGAAAACACTTCACATCCTTCACCTTTCCTCAATCCAAAGTGAATTGTTCCTTTTCTTTTCTACTTTTATTTGCACTCTCTCCTCTTTGTGAAACACATTCTCCTACTTTGTTTGTTATCAGCATTAAGGTTGCCTGCTTACTCACAGCTCATCAAAGTCAAGTAGTCATGGCCAATTACAAAAGAACGAGTCCGGCCATGCCTCTGCAAAGGGATGAAAGATTCAAAGCAATAAGTAGAAAAATAAATGTTTACATCTTGTATCATCTTACCATTTCATAATGGCCAAATAAAAACATAAGAATAATCATTAAGAAAAGGAAAGGAAGTCTTTTTAAAAAATATTTTATTGTGTTTTCTCTATTATTTTGTAAGGAAAATATAGAGTTTCTCATCTCTTTGCTATTATCACTTGTTATGGGTTGAACTGTGTTCTCCCCCAAGAGATATTTTGAAGCCCCAAACTCTGGTACCTGTGAGTGTGACTTTAATTAGAAATAGGGTTTTGGCAGATGTTATTGAGTTAAGATGAGATTGTTAGGGTAGTTCCTAATCCAGTATGACACACACATATGACAGAGAGAGAGAGAGACAGACAGACAGACAGACAGAGAGAGAAGAAGAAGAAGAAGAAGAAGAAGAAGAAGAAGGAGGAGGAGGAGGAGGAGGAGGAGGAGGAGGAGGAGAAGGCAGTCAAGAGAAGATGAAGGCAGAGATGGGAGTGATGTGGCTACAAGCCAAAAAATACCTGGGGCCCCCAGAAGCTGGAAGTAGTGAGGGAGGGGCCTTCTCCATGGGCTTTGGGAGGAGGGTCGCCTTGATTTCAGGCTCCCATCCTCTGGAAGTGTTGGTTTCAACGGCCCTATGAAGGCAGACAGAGGAAACAAACACAAACATCCATACTTGCCTCTGAAAGCTTATTTTATACCTTTTAGAATTTTCTTGTACTTCTTCATCTCTGAGGAATCTTTTACTACCTTTCAACTTTTGAAAATTTGTGGACTAGTGAGTAGATCAATTCTTTCCAACTATGTAACTAGGTGCCTGACAAAAGTCAGGTTCTGAATTTGTTTTCCCAAGATGCCCTTCTAGGGGCTAAGCTTACTCTTATATTGGAATATATTGCATTATCAAGAGGTGACAAAAACCTTAAAAGCTGTGCTTCAACTTGTCATGGTAACTACAGATCACTAGATGTGTATTTCTAGGGTGTAAATGAGAGTTTATTCTATAATTCTGAACATAATGGCCGAAGGGAGCAAGCACATCTTTAGATGTTGTTTAAAGTTATTTTGATCCTATGTGGAAACTGAGACTCATAAAACAGTAAAAACTAAATGAAAAAAATTAAAATTCCACTATGGTTCACTCAAATGTGCTTTTAAATAGATATTTTAGTACTCTGTTATTTACGGTGCAGACCAAATTTTAGACTATTTGGTATTGTCTAATGCCTGTTCACTTGTCTTATGAATGAGGTTCTGCTTAAACAGTGCAAGTAACCATCAAGGACATCACAGTATTCAACAAACTGACGTTATTTCACTGCATGGGCCAATGCACTCAAGAGTCTCAAAGTAAATGTGAATATTGCATGAGAGGGTAAAATAAGGGAGAAGAGACTCTTTGTGGAGCAGCAGATCAGGATAAGCTACAATCAAGCCAAGGAGCCCCCAAGTGTCTCATAAAGGTCTACCTGGGTAAGAGTGGGAAGCTGAAGACCCACCCAGGGCCACAGCAAAGAACCAGACTTGCAGCCAATAGCTCAGATGAAATAAAAACATCAGAAGGGGAATAGGAACATGCTAAATGCCCCCAGTGAAGCAGCAACTCAGTCTGTAAGTAAGGCTATGTGGCTAAATTAGGTCCCTGATTCAGCCCTAACCCTAAATTAGGTCCCTCACTCAGCCCTGGGAAAATAAAGTCCAAGTGTTTCCATTGACCTCAATTACCCAGATCATATGTGCCATTTTATCCAGCCAAAGTGTAACAAAGATAATCTGTTTTCAACAAACGAAGGGTCTGTGAGAAGAAACACAGTGTTTTCAGGTAGATTTTCCCCTTATCTGAGAGCTTTCAGGGCTGTAGAGTTTTTTTCAAGGGAAAAACAAAAAACCTGGGACAATGACCCCATTCAATGATAAAATCCCTGTGATCAGCCCTTCTTCTCCACTGACCCCTGGGACAGAAGCAGAAAGAGCAGGTTCTGCTGAGATCGAGTTGCTCTGTTTAACCAGCACAAATACTTTCACAGGAAGATAAGTCAGTGATTAAATCAGACTCGGAGCCTAAAAAAATAAATGCTTAAGCAAATGATTGCACAGCTCTCTTGTGGTGCAGCGAGACAGCTGAGGCTGGACAGAAGTGGACAACTCCAGTTCTCACCAGTCAAGGTCCCCTTCCTAAAGCAGCGATGCACCTGGGCTAGGCCCAGGGTGTTGAAGGGCCAGCATGTCATATTCTGCCTTTATCTGGAGGGTGATGTAACTAGAGATTCTAAACAGAGTTAGTCAGAACCCTGTGTTCTATGTCAACACTGGAGTAATCAACTTTTAACTTTTTTATGTACAGACAAATTTGGTAAACAGAGATATGGTAACTTTTTGAAAACATGCTACATGAGGTTGTAAGTCTAGTTTATAGCTAAATATTTCCCTCTCTTCCTGGCAAGTGAAGGTGATTTTATCGGAGTGCCCTCTGGTTATAGACGACCACAATTATGGAAACCCCATGCTTTTACACTTAAGTACCATGAGGTATTGTTTTTCTCTCCCTGCCTCCTCCCAAGTCAGGAATCCCACCTTTGGGAACCACTGGAATAAACTAGAAAGGACATGGCTTTCTCCTGTTGTTTCTCTTTAAACTTCCGGAACCTGGGAATGTTGAGTGTTTATTAAAAGCAAGTATAACATTGCTGTCCTTCCAGGTAGTTAAAATTTGTGTACAGATTATGCAAGAATCTTAATTCAATCTAGAAACAAAAACTTAGGTGGCTAAGTGATGTGGCTTAAGTCTCCCAATTTTGTTACAAAACACCTCCCAACCTCCCCCTCAATAAATCCAAGTAAATGACAAGGTGGCCCCATGCACACAGCATGGCGCCTGGCACGTGGTAGGTGTTTAACAAGCAGTCTCTATGTATGCAGGTCCAGACGGAGGACAAACAGGCAGTCAGAAGCAGGAACTGGCAAGATTTGCTTGCTCAAAGCCCTGTATTCCACATGGCTATTGTAACCCAGCTTTCCTATGTTTTGATGAACACAGGTTAGAAATTTTTTCAATGAGTTTTTAAATAGAATTTATAGATTTTTTAAATCTAAGGACTTTCAAATTGCTGAGCCATATTTAGATATACAAATTAAAAGCAATTCAAACTATGGAACTGGATGTGGCCATTGGGCACAGCTATCGTGACCCTACTGCCAGAATCACATGAACAAATAAAGCAGTGGTGACAAAGATGGAGGTCACACCCCTGCCCTGATTTCTTGCAAGTTCCTGGGTGGAAAACTATCACTTGGCTTCACTTCATTTCTTTCCCATGGCAGCCACTAACTACGTTTAGTACCACCAAAGTGCACCATCCAGTTGACCCGCAAGTTAGAAATAGTCATCTCTCCCACATTCAGAAATAGTGTTGCATCCAAGAGAGGTGACCATTTCTGCTCTCCTAGAGGCAGCACTTATTGCAGGAGTTGGAATGAACATTTGCAATAAAACTCTATCCCCTGGGAATGTCAGCATTTCGAAGGTGCCCACCTGCTATGTGTTAGTTGTTTCATGTTCATTGACCCAGTCCTCATACGAACTCTATATCACAGCTGCCACTGGCCCAAATGGAACTTCTATCATGGGAAGTGCCTTGGCCTGGACCACTGGTTTTCAAACCTTCACGTTCATCAGAATCAGCTGGAGGGTTTGTCAGAAACAGATAAGCTGGGCTCCATCCCTAGAATTGCTCATTCAGTAGGTCTGAGATGGAGCCTGAGAACTTGCATTTTTTACTACAAGTTCCCAGGTGACTCTGCTGCTGCTGCTGGCCCTGGGCCACACTTTGAGAAGCACTAGCCTAAATCACATAAGTTCATACCCCTATGTGAACTTATAGTGGCCAAGCCCAGATTAAAACCCAGATCTGCCTGATTCATAAATGTACACCACCGCCACATGGAGAAGGTACCTGTTATCCTTCTAAGGTTTCTCTGCGGCAGAGGTGGAAAAGGAGAGCAGGCACCATAGTACCTGCAAAGGGGGATGAACCTGGAGTCAAGAACTTGGAATGGAAGCCCCCCATCTACCATGTACCAGCAAGTCCCTCAGTCAACCTGATCCTTAGTCTTTTCATCACCGAAGGAAGGAGTCTACTGCTGTCGCTCTGGCTACCCCCACCGAGCTGGAGGGAAAAGGTGACCTAACCACTGTCAAAGAACTGGCTCAGCCTGGACGTACTGCCACACGTGCTGCTTGTTATTTTTATTAGGAACCAAGTCAGAAGGAGAGTAAAGATGAACAAAACAACAAAAATATGTCAGAGAATGATCTGGTCTTTAGTTTAAGAGCTGAGACTACGTAAAAGGAAATGCCAGACACAATAAAGCTGCCTGTGAGGAGCTGCAGTTCAGTCCTCTCAAAGGTGACGGCCCCAGCGCTCTTTAGAGGAGGGCCACTGACACATTTTCCCAATAGGTTTTGTTTTTTCTTTTCAACTTAAAAAGTAAACATCCTCTTTCTTTCTTCAAGAGACATTCTTTTCATGAATGTTGAAAAATGATTATTCAACAAGTACTCTGATGTAGTTCTTTTTTGAATAGTAAAAGTTGAAAAGTAAAAAAAAATAGTGAAAACTAAGACTTCTTCCTCCATGAAAATTTTCATGCTAAATACTTGCATTATCTAACAGGAATTTCTAACTAACAAAGTTAATATTCACGGGCACAAAGACAGGGGGCTATTTCAGATCAGACTAATCAAGAAGAGAGGTTTTACTAAACTAAGAAATCTGCCAAGGGCCATGGGGCTCCACTGTCACCTACAAGTGGCTTCCACAATATTGGTTCAGTATTTGGCATTGAAACCAACAGGCTGCCCCGTGTGATCAGGACCATAGAGAGTGAGTGCATGCTCTCCATTCATGAAATATTACTTTCCTTGGATTGGAGATTATACTTGCTCAATGAAGTGAAGTCTGTATTGATTTACATTTTTAAAGTTCTATCCAAGCTTATGAGCTTTTGATAAAAATGACAAATCTCTGTTGGTGCAGCTGGGGTTCCGCCTGTTAAATAAGCTGCATAAATCTTCTTTTCTCTTTCTGATTTGCTGGAATTTACTCTTTACATGTCTTCATAGAGAAAGTAAAATTTAATGCTTGGCATGTAAAATAGAATACTACACAGAAATCAATAATCAAATTTCAGAGAGCAGGGTTCAGTGATTTGATTCTGTCTTGTCATTTCAATGACTGAACATTTCTCAGCCTTTCACTTTGAGTTGTGTACACAGGTTTCTTGAGTGGTGGGTGCATAATACAAATTATATGTTAATGTAACTTAGGACCTCTAATAATAAAACAAATATGAATTTGTGGGGAATTGTGGTTCTTTAGAAAGCATAGATTAGTGGTTAAAGACACATATTATAGAGAAAGACTGCCTGGTTCAAAGACTGCCTGTGTGACCTTGAAAACATAACATGCCCTCTCTGTTTTCTCAAAACCTTCATGGGGATGAAGAACCAATATTTATAAAGCACCAAGAAGGAGGCACAGCAGGTAGTTAGCACCTTGTGCTTGTTAAATAAATATCAATCAGTACACTGGAAATGTACACTGCTATGAAATGGCACTTTTGTCACTGATAGAGGAATGTTTTCCTAAGTTTCTCCCTACAGTCTCATGTAAGTCATGGAATAATCACCAAAAAATATCCTCTCTTCTTGACTTTGGCAACAGGACATTTGAGATGTGGAGATAAATCCTTCAATGAAACGATGAGGCTGCTTATCATTCTGACACTATCTTCCTGATATGGAGAAAATGTGAAGTTTTTGAAATACACCAAATCTACCCTTTTAGACAGCTTGATGGAAAGCAAAACCAAGGCAGGAGATTAAGGTGAGAGAATTAGTCAAACATAAACTCATAAAGAAATGTCAGGGAAAACCTATGCAAGGCAATGCAGGTACACAAGCAGTTTTCATAGTACAGCTTTGGCATAATATTTTGAGGCTATTTCCTATTTTTGATGCTTTTTAAAAAAATAATGGATGAGGAATTTTGCTGCCATCAGTGTATCTGTTACTTTTCTCAGCTTAAAAGAGGAGTCGGTTATGCTTCAGCAGGACAAACACCACCTCTGGACCAACGGCTGGTGGCACGTGCACAGGTGCGGTCAGAGGGATGGAAGGACCAAAAGGGCCAGGGGTGACATGGGCATTTGGTTGCTATCCATTCAGCACCACCACCCTCCTGAGTGACATGCAACAAAAAACAAGGGATCTTGGGGAATCTAAGCTTTTCAAAATATCTAGAGTGACTTATTTCCCAGTGTTTACTTTTAAAAACAGAGATAATCTAATGCCAAATAGCCAAAATGAGACTCTAAAAAACTGTTAAAACTTTAACATTTCCAAAGCTTGTTCCTGTGCGTTTATCATGGAAACGTGGCAAAGCAGTTCGAGGTGAATCAATAATGCATATCAAGGTGAATCAAGGTTCTCCCCCACTGCACAGGTAGCTATTTGGAGGCAGGAACTATGTCTCAATCATTTGTTTCATATCCTTAACGGCAGGTGCCAGAGGTGATTGATTTGGATTGTTTTATTTTAGCTCGACGGGGACTGCACGTCCCAGAATTCCATTCCCTTCACAGTTCCAGGTTAGCCTGGGCCATGGAAACACTTTGCATGATGTAAGGCAACAGTGACCTAATAGCCACATTCTTTTTATATCAGAAGGTCAGTGAAGGGCAAGAGGCATAGTGTGGCCACTCACGCAGGTTGTCGCTGACTGTTGGATCATACTGTTGGCCCAGGGCAGCAAGTGGGTGAGTCACAGTCCCCGCTGGGTCTCCTCCTACAGTTACTGTGACTGCTGGGTTACATGATGGAGGGCAGTGGCTTTCCCTGCTGGCCACCCCCCCCCCTTATCTAATTGGAGGCTCAAGGATTCGGACATGGGTTCCATTTCACCCTGGTGGCTCTGGCCAATCTTCCCTGCTTCCCACTTGTCATCTCTCTCCACTTCACATCCATCTGCCATCCAACTACCTGCCTCACAGCTTCAGGTTCAGCACCAGACACAGAAGCAACAGCTTTACATAGATTGTATGACCCATTATACAAGGTCGAATTTTATCATAATCCTATGATAAATATATATTAATAGGCTTAATCATTGGGGCTTCATTAGCAAGGCAGAACCAATAGGAAATGCCATGTTTATTATATAGATGAGAAAACTGACTATGGACAGTTATTACTGTCAAATAATAGTAAACGTGAAATGACAGTAATACTAAAGACTTCTGCCATTGGGTCCAATGTTCTTTCTAATGCACTGTGATGTGTCTTTTGGTCTATCCACTTATCCTTTGGTATATAGAGGAACTGAGCCTTTGCAGGCAAATTCCTAAAACCATCTTAAGCACTCCATTCAGGTATGAAAAGATATTCTGGGCATCTATTACATAGCAGAGTGGCACCAAGTTAACAGTAATGTAGTTTGGGACAATAAAATACAGGGAATGAATGACTTCAAAAGAAAATAGAGCCCTGATAAGCAATGACCAAGTTCTTTGTGTTGGAGACAGTTGTTTTTATTGGAAGAATGTACCTTGCATTGGAACCAAAATGTCCTCTATAAAGTAGGAAAATATCACTAATTCACTTCTTTGATCTCTTCCCTACACTACATATTTCCTATTGAGTTTACTTCCTTTGCCAGAATCTGTCCCAGGTAATGGGGAACTAACTCTGTTTTAGAACTACAGTCCTGAGTGATTTGGGGGTGTATGGGTGAACACTATAAGCATCCCTCGATGTAAGCTACTACCTAGGTCATACTCACTCCTTTATTCCACTTATTACCACTCTGCCTTCACCCTCACACCAAGAACCCTGCACACCAGCCACATGGAACTTCTCACATCTTCCCAAACACATTAGGTTTTCTATAAACCAGACAGACATCTCTCCTTTCTTCTAAAATACAAGTGTGACTTCCACTGTAAGATCTCCCTCAATTCCCCAGGCAAGGCTACATTTTCTGCTCATGTCCTCTCTTGCTAGGCATCGACTTTCCTAATGGCAAGAAACCTATGGCTTGGTCTTATATATCTAGTGCCAAATGGAATGACTACTGCACACCTACTTAGAAGAACGGACCTGCCATTTTTTCAGGTCACCAACACTCTGTCTACTAGATGTTAGTGGGGTCACTGAAGGCTATTATTTTGATGCCCTAAAATAACCAGGTCTACAACAACATGGCAATAATGGTATAGCAATTCTCAAGGTATTACTTTGTTCACAATTAAGAGTCATTTACTTTCCACACAAAAGGAAGCATGAACATTCTAACAGCTAATGTCTACAGGACATATTTTGGACTTCTCACCTCCTGGCTTTGCTCACTCTATATTCCTGTGCTTCTGTTGTACAAGCTGCTCCAACAGATCACAAATTCCATGTACAACTGGAGAAATGGTGTCCACTCTTCACACCAGGAAAACAGACTTGTGCAGGAAAAGCACGCAAAACATTTTCTTCTTACAACAGTATAATGCAGGGAAATATTGTCCTGATTTCTATTGTACTTCATTCCCATGAGTATAAATCACAGCATGTTTTGCTTCTGTTTGGTTTTGTTTGAGTGTGCTTGTTTGTGATTTTGCCTTGTTCAGTTTTATTTTTCATAATATTTCTTTAGCTTTCAAACTCTAAGGCCACTGGTGTAATCTTATCATCAGCTCAATATTGTTATCTAATACAGTTAAATAAAACTTTAGTCATAAGGAAATGAAACAACCTCCTATTCCCACAAAGCCTAAATTTAAATATGTGTAACTCATAAGTCTTAGATAATTTGTTCAAATTAGTCATACAACGTTCCTCTTGAGTGTTCTCTAACCACCCACAAAGTTGGTTCAATTCTGACCCTAACAAAAGGCAAGTAAACACACAGGGAGCAAACTTCTTGACGTGACAAGCCTGGTGTCTAATTACAGCCCCTAATGTTCTGGCACCTTCTCAAACGCTAGTTGCATGGCTGGGGAAGGGTTTTACAGTGCCATCTATAAATAGAACCCAATAGCACATCATGAGAATGCTGTAAGATGGTTCAGTGTGACTTCTAGGCAAGTGCTGGTTGGTGAGAACTGTTACGCTCTTTTTCAGCTGACTCAATGTTCTTCTGGCTTCTGTACAGGAGAACCTTGAATCAGAGATTGACTGAACAATTTATGTGGTTCAGCCATTATGCCAGGTGCCTTGTTTTGTGAAGTTACCTTGGAATTCTTATCCCAATGCAGATACAGAACATGTTGAATTACCCATTGCTTGGAACAGTCTCACGTGTGATGGGAAGAGTACAGATTTTTTTAAAAGACTGGCCATATTTGTGGGTGAGTAAATGTTTTTCTGGGACACAGCCAATTAACTAACCAAGTAGTAATCTAAACCAAGAATGTAGTATCGCAAAAATCATCCTTTAATAGAGCTTCTCAAAATTTTCCATTAAAAAGTGAGAAAACAGAAGAGAAATGAGCTTATAATCTTTATCTCTACCCCAAATCCTGGGAGATAAAGAATATAAGACAAAGAACTCTTCCCCAAGTTCAAAATATTCCAGTCTTAGAGTTTTTCCTCACATTACATGCTAATTTTGAATTCTGACATTATATATGTGTATATATATATACACACACACATGCATATACACACATGTTCACATATATGTGTATATATACATATATGGATATATAAGAATATATCTGTGTAAATATACACACATATACATATATGTGTGTGTGTTATATATATCAGAATACCTTCATTATAAAACTAACTATTGAAACTACTTATCAGTTCAATTATTTAATTCCTCTTCTTCTCCATCCAAATTGTTGAGTTAAATAAATGCTTCCAAAAGGCATGCCATGTGTGTCTAGTGGCTTCTCCTAGCTCCTGACTGATTGCTGCTGTTGTGCAGATGATTCCTTGGAGGCAGGACCCGTGTGCATAAAAAATAAACTACATAAAAATACATGAAAGAATATATAAGAGCCCGAACACACGGCAGAGAGAGCAAAGCTAGTGGAAGAGGAAACAGCCACCAGAAGGCTGTACCGCGGGAGTCCTTCACACTCACCAGCTCTTTGCCTCAGTGAAAAGAAATCACTTCCCCTTTGGCCAAATTGCATTTTGAATTCAGACAAGACTGAGTTTGAATCTAAGACTTGAAGAAGTTACATGACTTTCCCAAGATTGCACAGCCAGAAAGTGGAAAATCTAAGCTTGCTCTATAAAATGAATGTAATAGCTCTTCTCAAAGCTGAGATGAAGACCCAATGGATATAGTATTTAAGCATCCAGAACATAATAAGCACAAAAACGCTTATCTCTTCACCCACCTCACCACACAAGTAGTTATAATCTATCTGATGCCTAAAATCATGAAATTTTCCATCCTGTATTCTTAAAGTTAGGGTTGAGGCCACTTTTCCTGGAACAAGGAAGTAACAGATTACTCAAGGATAAATTCATATGAGACAAAAGGTAAACAGTTTGTCCAAATGGTGGGTTTTTCAAATTCAAAAAAGAGAAGGTTCCACTAACTATATGGGTTGTTTTGGCACCAAATATTTACTCTGGATACCCTTTTATATATCTATTGTTTTCCACACAACTGCACTTTTTGCCAAATACTAATTTTCAACTAATATACATCCAAGCCTTAACTTGGACTCACCATTAACATGTATAATGAAAGAAACATAATTTTTCAGTCCTTGAAAACTTGTTCTCTTGCAAGTCCAAGTGTACTAATTTAGGAAAATGCATTAAAATACCTTACCGAGTGCCCCACCCACTGCATTCTTTTCCTCCAGTGTCAAATGTTGTCACAGTCTTGTTTTGTATGAGACTGATGTCTCAGAGTTACCACAATTCTCGTATTCTCATGTTCTAAAAATAAAGCCAAGCAGGAATTCCCTCAGTTGCTCTAGTTCTCTTGCTGTCCATCTGTCTCTGCCTCTCTGTTCCTCTGTCTCTCTCTTCTCATTTGAATTGAATTGAACTCTGGACCGTGTTCACTCTGAAACTTCTTTTTGGCTTCATTGTAGAACTCCTTACATGATATTCTACAAAACAGCTATGGTGCAGATACAACACCCCGTGTCACTTTATTGCTTAAAATCTGACATAGGGAATGGTTCATTTACATTCTCCAAAGTAAAGCGGCAAAGATACATTAATGTGCTCTTTCTTCTTAAGGGTCTGACTCTTATAGCTATAAGGCTAATATTCAGCAGAAACACTCCAGTCCCTTTTTCATGAAGCTCTTTCTGTTCACATGACTACATAAGAGTGTAATGCATATGATCAAAATCATCTGATTTATAGTAAAATTCTTTCTTACCACCTACACCCGACAACAAGAGACACAGCTCAATTATATACATTACAGAATTCATGGCAGCCAGGGAGAAGGGATAGAAAGTTCTCTGAATAAATACCCAGAGACGGAAGTTCTGCAATTTTAATGGACCAGAAAAAAAAGCTTTAGAGAGAGGAAAGTCATTACAACAGAAGAGAATTCTTTACTTCTTAATTTATGTTAAAATCAATCTAGAAAGTGGATGTTTTTATTCTCTCTCATATCATTATATACAATTCTCAGAAAAATTAACCTATTTTTCTTGAAGTTTTTTAGGTGGTATATAGATGCATATTTCAATGCTTGAAGCTCTATATTCATAAGACAGGATGTAATCATTTGCTTCTGAAAAGAATTATAGAATACTCCATCTGGTATTGAATATGGATATATGATGACATCACTTTTAGACATTTACACATATAATGGCACGAAGATTGTTTAATAAATTCTGTAAAGACTAATTTGAAACTACTTCTGACCAAATCTTCAAAAGAACTCAAGGGATGACACCCTGACTCCTACTTGAAGCACTTGGATAGGAAATGAAATTACCTTTATTGTATTTAATTCAACATTGATATTTATACTGCTGGATACAGAGCACTGCGGCTCCCTAAACAGAATCCAGCATGGGCACAGCATAGGCTGCACGACCCTGTATAATAACAAAAATAGAACAAAGCTTACCTTTATTCACTCTCCCCACAGAAGATCTGTGAGCTGGGTGCCCACGGCTGAGCACTGGGAAAAAACGTTCTCTGGTTAATAATAAAGGAAAGAAAAGGTCCAGACACCAAGAACCTGGGTTAACCATTGACATTGTTTGTTCCTACAATTCCACCCTGGGAATCTCCATGGGTAGCCTTTGGCATCTTATAAAGCGGGCGATAGCCGGTCAGCTGAGACTGAGGTTACCTCCCCACCTCTGTACCTGTGGAGAAGGTACAGTGTGAAGGTCATTCAAGCAAACCCTGACTAAGTTTCCAGTCGGTCAGGGATATAAAGTAGAAAAATTTTCTTGGGCCAGAAATATGCTCAACAATGCCAGTAAGTGACTCAAATATTTACAAACAGGGGTGCTGGGAGCTAACCCATGGAACTCTTCCTGCCGGCTTTCAGACTTTGAGCAATGCAAAGAAACCCTTCTTAACCAGAAGTCTTTGTCTGCATCATAGCAGGTGAGAGTTGAGATTGAATGCCAATGAAAACTGAGACAAGACAACCAGAAATAGCTAAGCATCCATCCCTGCCTTTATTCAACATGCTTTTAGTGATTATTTACCAAGTGCCGCCCAGTTCCAAAGAAGCCCTGAGAAATAGAAGACAGAGACCAGGGTGGAAGGTCCCCTCTCTCCCAAGCCCAGAACTGCAGCTTGAGACAGAGAGGATAAACACAAGATTGGCTGTGGGCCACACCAGAATGTGCAGTCTGTGTGCAGACAGCTCTTCCAGCCCAGCCCCCGGTTCTCAGGGGCGAAAAGGAATGTGGCGGGGGTCATGCAGGTGAGGTGGCTGACTAGAAGTCAGAAAATTGAACGGGTAGGTGTAGAGCTGGCTTTAAAATAGGAGCATCTAAAGAGAGTTCCTAAAAATGTGAAAGGCGTCCACGAGAAACTAAATAACAATTCTAAGCAATTCCAACCCTGGGAGAGGTGTAACCAAGAGCGCTCAAAAGCGGTATTGTACTAGGAGAGGAATTAGTATTTTTTTCTTTTTTCCAAAGAGCACTGGTAACCAGGGGGTCTGGTTGCCCCATCCAGTTTGGCTGACCCTCCAAACTGAAGGGGCCATTTCTAGGTGCTGACCAGAGTTGCTGTTTGGGGGCTGTTTGCTTTGTGTTTCCACTTTTAAAAATATGAACACTCAAGGAAGCAAGATTAGATTTCAATGTTGGTGTCGCTATTTATTAGTTTTGTGACTCTGGGAGCTGCTTAACCTGTGTGCACCTCAGTTTCTTCTCCTGTAAAATGGCACTGATAATGACGACAACAACAACAACAACAACAACACAAACACCAACCTAAGGCAAATCCTTAGTGCTCCAAACCTGTTCAGGCGTTTACATTCTGATGGCACACAAAATGCAACCTGTTCGTTCGTAACAGGGAAAAGATTTTGAACCCTCCAAGGGACCAACCTTGTCAATCACCCATAAATGTCAGTAAAGTACTGGACCCCGAGGTTAACTTCTCTGCAAAGAAATCTGAACACTAGAAAGATATCTATACTTTCATACTAATTACAGCAACTTTCATTCTGGTGTATCCTTAATAAACCTGACTTGATACTTTAGTATGATCAATTACTCTGTTTAATTACTGGCTTGCTGGAAAGCTGAGCTCCCTGTGTCAGTGTTCCATCCAAAAGGACGTTTAAAAGAGCACAGTGATGCACGTAACTCCCTCTGCCCTGCAAGGTGGGTTTCAGGGAAGGTGGCTGTGTTTGGGTGCGTGTTTGGACTGATCTGAGGAGATGAGGCATCTGAACTGCACAGCATGAAAAAGACCACAGAGGAGGCAGCGCAGGAAGCGAGACGGGGAAGCTGGATGTCTTCCCAGCTCCCACTGAGTCATGTCATCACAGTGTGGCTTCATTTCTTTGTTTGAAGTAAATTCCCAGAACATCTGACACACCCATACACACATGTAAGTGGAAAAACAGAGACCTTCAGAGTCTCGACAGAGTCCACGTGGCCCTCAAAGCCTGAGATATCTACTGTGTGGCCCTTTACAGAAAACTGCTTGCCAATCCCTGAGCTTTGTAAATCACACAATTCATTGTTCTTCAAAGACCATGTTCCTCCCTTCTGATTAATGATTATCACATGGGGAACTTCAAGTCAACCAAATTTCTATCATTTAAAAACCTACCTTTCTAAGTACCATCCAGCGACCATGCTCCTTGATCTTCACCCCAAAAAGTTAAAAGTTTATGTCCACACAAATACCTGCACATGGATGTTTATAGCAGCTTTGTTCATAATTGCCAAAACAAAAAGACTTCCCTCAGCTGGTAAATAAACTGTGGTATATCCAGAAAATGAAATAGTATTCAGTGCAAAAGAAGACATGAGCTATCGAGCCTTGAAAAAACATGGAGAAATAGGTACAGGGTGGGGAAAAAGTAGGTTTATAGTTGTTCATATGGAAAAGTACAATAATTAATAAATAATAATAATATGAGAATACACTCTTTGTTTCGCACTCACAACTGTGAACCTACCTTTGCCCCACCCTGTATTGCTTGAGAACACTCTGGAAAAGGTGAATTTACGGAGACAATGAAAAGATCAGGGGGCGGCGGGTGGAGGGCTAACAGAGGCAGGATGAACGGGCAGAGCGCAGAGGATTTTTAGAGCAGTGCAAAGACTCTGCGTGGTGTTACAATGATGTATATAAGTTCCTATAGACTTGTCCAAACCCAAGGGTGAAGCCTTGGGAACACTATGGACTTGAGGTGATAATGAAGTGTCCAGCTAGGCTCATTTTTGCTAAAAAATGTATCATTTCTGGCGAGTGATGTTGGTGATAAAGGAGATTGTCCATGGGTGGGAGCCGGGGTACACGGGGCATCTCTATGCCTTCCCTCAATTTCACTGTAAGTCTAAAACTGCTGTAAAAGTAAACTCTTTAAAAAATCCTATCTTTCCTTCAAGTTTCCTTTAACTAATGCCTTCCTTCCTTGCCTTCTCTAAACGATCTATAGTCATTTTTAAATAATTTCTAAAGAAACAAACTTCTAAACACACTCTCCCTTTCAATCCACACAGTGCGGCTCCTGGTGGCACGTGCCATCTCCTTCGCTGCATCACGAACATGGGTGGTAAGAACCGACTGAAGCTTATTCATCTTTGCATCCAATGAGATGTCTAGCCGGAAGCTGCAGTACAGGAGACACTAAGAAATGCATGCTTTTCCTCATTAAGAAAGTATACAAAACACTTATTATGTTTTGCTCTCCTGACCGTTTCTTCCAGTCCACAGTCTCAATGAGCTTCCTGTACTCCTTGTCCATCTCTCACCCTCCGAAAGCCACAGCCCTCTCGCTGCCCAGAGACTCCACACACCATCAGAGTTTCTCCTCTCTTTATCACCCCAGCTCTCAAAATTCTCCTTCGTTGGGTTCCATTTCCCCCTGAACAACTCTGTGTTTTAGTGTTCCAAGCCCTTTAGAACATAGATGATGCAAAGGAAAAAAGAAAAACCAAAGTTGACTAGAATTTACTTCCTCGAGAAGCAATCCAGTCTAGCATTTCCATAAGCTGAAGCACAATATTTCCGCAAATTACTTAAATAAAAATTATCAAACTGATGGCGTCATTTGAAAGAGCTTGATCCACTGAATGAACTGTGCTAACAGTGGAAAGCTGCATTAGCCTTCCCAGGGTGTGGGGTGGAGCGGGAAGAACACCTTAAAAAATCTCTCCCAGATGATAAGGTTACCTGTGTTTACTGTAGAAAATCTGAGTAAGAGTACAAAAAGGGTGATAAAAACTAATCACAAGCCTCGATTTCCTCTGGCAAACTTTACTCCAGTCTTTTCCTCTGTTGTATGAAGACAGAATTAAGATGCACTTATGTGTATCATTGTGAATCTCACTTCTTAACCTTGTCAAGAAGCTCTCATGTCAGTGCAGAAGGATGCAGTCATGGCCATGGAATTGACAACCTCTGAGACACTCCAGCCCAGTGGGTCTCAGGAAGCCTGAGAGCTGGCTTCTGAGTCGCCCCCACATCCCACCCCCATTGACTGCTGTGATTCACAGGTGTTGTGGGCGTGACCCAAAGTCGTGCCTTAAGACACCTCTATGAACTGTCAAGCATGCCGCAGGTGTGATGAGACATTTAAAGGTATGCCTACACATTCGGTAAATCCTAGTCCTCTGTGAGAAGTGCTTGTAAATGGAAAAGTCGCCACCCTCCTGAAGGAAGTATCTTTTCTGAGGAATGGGAGAGGCACTGATGGTGGCCAACTGGATTTCAGAAGCTGGCATCGGACTGACGGATTTCACTGTGCACAGTACCCTCCAGGTCCAACCACATGGCCACAAATGCCAAGATGCCCTTTTTATGGCCAAGTAATGCATCAGTAGGAGAGAGAGAAACATTGCATGATTTCACTTATTTGTGGAATCTAAAGAACAATGTAGACGAACAAACAAAACAGGAACAGACTCACAGACACAGAGAACAGACTGATCACTTTCAGAGGGGAGGGGAATTGGGGGACTGGGTGAAAGGATGAAGGGACTGAGAAGTACAGATTGGCAGTTACAAAGCAGTCATGGGGATGTAAAGCACAGCATAGGGAATACAGTCATAACCATGCATGGTGCCAGGCGGGTACTGGAAATGTTTGGGGGTCACTTTGGAAAGGATATGATTGTCTAACCAGTCTGCTGTGCACCTGAAACTAATGTAAAATAATACTGAATGCAAACAGTAATTGAAATACTTTTAAAAAATATAAAAGGTGCCCTCATTTGAAAGACTATTTTACTTTTAATTCTACATTTACCTTAAAAGGTCAAGCCCCAAACCCCTAACTTACTTCATTACCACACTGAAGACATCATGAGGAAACACGTGAAGGAGATTAATTTCCCCGCATACGATTTTCAGTTCTTCTTCAATGTTCATGTGGAGGCATGATCCTCTCCTCCTTCTGGCCCTCCTGGCCTCTTTCAAACGGCAGGGATAACTGGTAAAACGGGAGGCCCTGGTTGCCTCCCTCTCTGCCGAGACATTTTTTCCCCTAACACTTTCCTTTCCCCCACCCCAATAAGAATTAAAAGTGATATTTCTTTTGACAGCTGGTAACTAATCCCACCTTAGCAGGAAGGAGAAC